CCGCTCCACTCCCCCAAGTCCCCAGTCTGGCCCACCTTCCCCTTCCACAGGGAGGGCAGCAGGGTCTGGGAGCGGGGTGGTGTCCCACCTCGGGACCTACCCAGCCCTCTGCCCACCAAGCGGACCAGGACCTATTCGGCGTGAGTACCTGCCCCTTGCCCAGGCCCTTGACCCTTGCCAGGACACAGGCTGACCATCCCCATCCTTTTCCAACTCCTGTTGTCCTCACCTGGGATAGGGGAACTGTGTGTGGACCTTCCAGTAACTGGATAGATGTTTGTCCCCTCCATCCATTCATCCTTCCATGCATCCATCCACCCATCCATCCATCCATCCACCCACCCACCCACCCACCTGTCCGTCCATCCATCCATCCATCCACCCACCCACCCACCCACCTGTCCGTCCATCCATCCATCCACCCATCCACCCATCCATCTGCCCGTCCGTTCGTCCGTCCATCCATCCATCCATCCATCCATCCATCCATCCATCCATCCACCCACCCACCTGTCCGTCTATCCATCCATCCACCCATCCACCCATCCATCTGCCTGCCCGCCCGTCCGTCCATCCATCCATCCATCCATCCATCCATCCATCCATCCATCCATCCCACAGAGATTTACTGAGCTCCTGACCAGGGGGATCCAGGGATAAGACAAAGCCCCAGCCCATAAGCTGCTTACAATCTAGAGGGAACTTGTTCACCATCCATTACCACCCAGCAGGGTTAGGAGTGAGGACCCAGCACGGGGTACCAGAGGAGACGATGTCCTGGTTGGGTTTGGAAGATGTATCAGGTGAAGAAGGGAGCTGGCGATTCTGGGCAGATGGCACAGCGTGGGCAAAACCCAAGACACAGAGTTAACCTTTGGAGAGGGGTGGGCAGGGGGACAAAGAGTAGCCCTGGGCCTTTGGGGTAGGTCACCAATGAGGTGGCATGGGGGAGTAATAAGGGTCCATATGGGGGAGGCCAAAGGATCTTTTGGGAAGGACAGGGTCTTGCTCTGTCACCCAGGCTGGAGTGCAGTGGTGCAGTCATGACTCACTGCAGCCTCAACTTCCTGGGCTTAAGCGATCCTCCCACCTCAGCCTCCTGAGTAGCTGGGACTACTGGCGCATGTCACCACCCCCAGTTAATTTTTTAAAAAATATTTTGGGCCAGATATGGTGGCTCATGCCTGTAATCCCAGCATTTTTGGAGGTCGAGGCAGGTGGATCAGTTGAGGCCAGGAGATCAAGGCAGTCTGGCCAACATGGCCAAACACTGCAAAACCCCGTCTCTACTAAAAATGTCAAACTTAGCTGGGCGTGGTGGTGGGTGCCTGTAATCCTAGCTACTCAGGAGGCTGAGGCATGAGAATCACTTGAACCCGGGAGGTGGAGGTTGCAGTGTGCTAAGACTGTGCCCCTGCACTCCAGCCTGGGTGACAGAGCGAGACTCTGTCTCAAAAAAAAAAAAAAAAAAAAAAATTTTTTTGTAGAGATGGAAGTCTCCCTATGTTGCCCAGGCTGGTCTCAAACTCCTAGGCCCAAGTGATCCTCCCGCCTCAGCCTCCCAAAGTGCTGGGATGACAGGTGTGAGCCACTGTGCCAGGCCTCATTATCATCGAATGGGGATGACTACGAGGTTCCTGGCCTGGGGCAAGTTTCTCGCAGCCCTGAGGCAGGCTCAGCAGAAAGGGCCCAGAACAGCTGTAGGGGTCCGGGGAGGAGTTCCTCAGGCCACAGCTGCAATCCCACTACCCTATCTCCAGGACAGCCCGGGCCTCAGCTGGCCCCGTGTTCAAGGGCGTCTGTAAGCAGTTCTCACGCTCACAGGGCCATGGCTTCATCACCCCCGAGAACGGGTCCGAGGACATCTTCGTACATGTGTCTGAGTGAGTCCCCTCCACCTCCGTTCTTGGCCCCTGCCCTAGTGCCCCTAACGGTGCCTCAAAAATCTCTCTCCAGACCTCTCCCCTCCCTGGCTGAGGTCTGTATTCATGGCACCTTTTCTGTCCTCTGAGTAGGGACTGAAGGTGTGTTGGGGGAGGAGGGCTGTGGCCAGGTGGGGAGTGGGCATGCAGACCCCAGAAGCCTGGGAGCCAGCAGCTGGGCCCTGGATCCCATTCCAGCATCATGGGGGTCTGAGAGGGCTAGGCCAGCTCCTGAGCCTCTTGGCCTGGAAAGGGCCTTCAGGTGGATGGGCCAGGAGGTAGAGATGGATGTCATGCCTAGGCCTGGCCCCACCCCCTCCTAATGCCCGGAGGACTGGGGCGAGGTCACTGAGCTTCTCAGCTTTAGGGATCTCCCTGTGCCCTTTCACATCTCAGTCCTCAAGGGACCCAGAAAGGGAGGTACAGTTTATGAATCCCGTTTTATTTATTTATTTATTTATTGAGACGGAGTCTCGCTCTGTTGCCCAGGCTGGAGTGCAGTGGCACAATCTTGGCTCAGTGCAACCTCCACTTCCTGGGTTCAAGTGATTCTGCCCCTCAGCTTCCCAAGTAGCTGGAATTACAGGTGTCAGCCACCACGCCCAGCTAACTTTTTTATTTTTAGTAGAGACAGGGTTTCGCCATGTTGGCCAGGCTGGTGTCAAACTCCTGACTCAGGTGACCCGCTCGCCTCGGGCTCCCAAAGTGTTGGGATTACAGGCGTGAGCCACTGTGCCTGGCCATGAGTCCCATTTTACAGATTCGAGAGCTGAGGTTCTGAGAAGCAAGGCCTGGCCAGGCCTCCTGACCTAGGGAGGCCTAGGGCCAGGCTGCCCCCGAGGCCAGGCCGCAGGACTGTCCAGGGCATAGGGCCTGCCACTGGGCTAATAATACCCCTCTTCCTGCCCGCCAGCATCGAGGGGGAGTACGTGCCAGTGGAGGGCGATGAGGTGACCTACAAGATGTGCCCTATCCCGCCCAAGAACCAGAAGTTCCAGGCCGTGGAGGTGGTGCTCACTCAGCTGGCCCCCCACACTCCCCACGAGACGTGGTCTGGCCAGGTCGTGGGCTCCTAGGCTGGGTGGCTCACAGGCCAGCTGGCCGGGGGGGTGGGGAGCCACACAGGGTGAACGGGCAGCAGCCAGCTCCATGCCCCACTGCCCTGGCTGATCAGTCCTTCGGTGGCCTCAGTGTGCACGTCTGTCTGTCTGTCCGTCTGTGCTTGTGGCTGTGAGCGTGTGCCTCCACCCACCCCATGACCCGTGACTACTGTGCGAGCTGGAAAGGAGGTGGGTGGAGGGCGAGGCCACCAGACCTGGCTTCTCGCTGTCCACTGCCTTTCTCCTCCCCTCCCTGCCGCAGACACGCAGGACCCGCTCGCCCTCCTACCCACCCATCCCCATGGTGACTGAGCCTCGAGAGCCTGTGCCGGGCTCACTCCCTGGCCTCCGCCCCTGAGCTGTCCCATGTCAGTCCACAGTTCTCTGTGCTACTTACATCTCCCTCCCTTGGCTGAGGTCCCCCGCCACCATCTAGACCCTTCCCTCAGAAGCCTGGCCGGTGGGTGCTTTTGGGGAGCTTCCCAGCCACTGGCAGGGGAGGAGGACAAATACAGAGGCACACAGGCCCCTCACTGCTGAGGCCAGCCTTCCTTCCTGCTCTGCTCTCAGTGCACTAGAGAGGCAGGAAGAGGGGCCTGAGGGCGGAAGGGGTTCGGGGCTCCCACTTCGCCGGCCAGTCCCTCCTCCTCAGCCTGGCAGTGGCTCTGGGCTCCTTCCCCTGGGCTGTACTGAGCCAAGCCCAGGGGTTTGCAGAGGGTGGGGGTCCATCTCTCCAGCTTGGCTGCAGCCCTCCTTTACCCTGACTCACAAGCACTACTGATGCTCTGCGCCACGCCCGGCTGACAGCTGCTGAGGATGCCGCGATGGATGGACACACGTCCATCAGGCAGGGCCGGGCCGGGGCACCCACAAGGAAGGCCCTCAGCCTGGGAGACTGGCCCTGCGGCCCCCGCGTCAAACCCTCTTCCCAAAGCCCTGACAGACCAGCGGCTGAGGTGTGGCTCTTGCTTTTACCGTGTCCATCCCTGAAGATGTGTGACTGTCGCTGTCACCTGGAGTCCTTTTGGGGCCAAGATGTGTATGCACTTGGGGTCGTGGCCATTCACTCCCATACAGGGGTGAGAGTGGCCTGGCCCGGGAGGCCAGGAAGGAGGGCCCTGTCTGCCTCCACCTCTGGGCGCACCCCCTGCCTACCACCCTCCCTTCTAGACAGCACATCGCCTGACTGGGCAGAAGTGGGGCCATGGTTCAAGGGAGGGCCGGCCAGGGGTGGGACCCTTATGAAACCCAGTCTGTGAGTAAAACGGGGGGCTCAAATGCCCAGGATGAGGGGATCAGTGACTGTCTAGGAGGATCCCTGGCCTTGTAGGTGCCCCAAGACCCCAGGGTAGAGATCAGCCGGGATGCCTGCATCCCAACCTTGCCCCCAGGGCCCATCACATAAAATCTGGGAGCCCAGAGCTGCTGAGGTATGCTGGTCAGCTCCCCTAAAATGGGCACGGCCCAGCCTGTCCCATGAGGAACAAAGGCCCCTGGCCCCTTGAGAGAGGGCTTGTTAGTGAGGGATGACTCCTCCTGTAGGGAGGCCACCTTTTAAGGTACCACTATCAGTCAGGATGTGGTGGCATCAGCCCTGGGGCCGCCTGGGTGGCAGGGGGGCAGCAGCTCTCCTCCCCACTCACAGGCCTTGCAGTGCCCATTTGGAATTCCTCCCAAGACCCCTGGCCACCCAAACCCCCCATTCTTCCTAACACTGGCAATAAACCCTCAACTGTGACCCACCGTGCCCTAAAGCTGCCTCTGTGTCAGGGTCCCCAAGGAAGGGGCTGGGGGTGGACACACCAAACCAGCTCTTCTCTGGGGCTTCAATGGCCCCCTCCTCGACTGGATCAGGGACTTCCTTTGTGACCTGGGCCAAGTCCCTGCCCTCTCTGTGCTGTTTACTCATCGGCAAAGTAGTGGCTATGACGGCATGTGACTAAGGCCAATTATCCATTTAGATGCAACTGACACCTACTTTGTTCTGGGAAATTTAATACTGTGACAAAGTTCTCTAAAATAGGCGCCTGCGCCACCATACCCCACCGTCCAGGGAATAGGCACCTGCACCACCATAACCCACCGTCCAGGAACAGGCGCCTATGTCACCATACCCCACCGTCCAGGGAATAGGCACCTGCGCCACCATACCCCACTGTCCAGGGAATAGGCACCTGCACCACCATACCCCACCGTCCAGGAACAGGCGCCTATGTCACCATACCCCACCGTCCAGGGAACAGGCGCCTATGTCACCATACCCCACCATCCAGGGAATAGGCACCTACGTCACCACACCCCACCATCCGGGGAATAGGCGCCTGCACCACCATACCCCACCGTCCAGGGAATAGGCACCTACGTCACCACACCCCACTGTCCAGGGAATAGGCACCTACGTCACCACACCCCACTGTCCAGGGAATAGGCACCTACGCCACCATACCCCACTGTCCAGGACAGGCAAGCAGGGCAGGCTAGATCTCGTACCGACACTTGTGCACGCCTCCTCCTGGCGCAGAAACCTGTTCTGTACTGGAATACAAGCAGCAGCTGTGGCCTCAGCCACCAGGTGGAGCATGGGGAACACTCTGGGCTCTGCGAGGACGGAGCCAGTGCCACTAGGAGCTGACTGGCTAGGGTCGGTTGTCCACACAGACTCTGGCCCCATTCGGGTGGGCCTTGCAGCAGGCGTCCTGGGCCAGAGGAGGGGCCCTGGCATCTATCCAACACCAGGACCTCTCTTTAGGCCTAGGCCAAACTCTTCAGAAGTCACAACGCACAGATGTGGGCCCCGGTCACGCCTCATGGGCTGTCTCTGGGAAGAAAATCTCCCGGCATCGCTGCACTGTGTCCTGAGGAGACACCACGCTGTGGCCAACAGTCCGGGGGTCAGCAAAGATCTCAAAGTCGTTCCCACCCTGCACACAGAGGATGGGCAGAGGAGGCATATTTAGGCGGAGTCCCTCTCCACGTTGGCTGCTAAGGACCTGCCCCTCCTCCTGCCCCTTCAGAACTGGCAGGAAGCCCACCTTCTCACTCCTGTCAGACCCGCCCTGACTTGCTGTGTGATGTAGAACAAGTGCCCAGCCCTCTCGGGGCCCCAGCCTTCTGATCTGTGTAACGGGGCTGGTGAGCAATGGCTGTTCTCCAGGAGCCCCCGCAAGAGGTCTGCTGTGTTGCCCCGTGTTCTGGCCTTGACCTGGGCGATTTGTGTTGGAGAAGCCACCAGACCTGGCTTCTGGCTGTCCACTGTGTTGGGGGAAACCTGGGGTGGGCCACACTCACAGGGCTGGTCTCGTTCCCAAAGAAGTGGATGGTGTCGAAGCTGTCCTGGTCCAGGCTATCCAGGCAGTAGCGCTTGTCCCAGCCCTCGGGGAAGACGTCAAAGCTGATCATGCCTCCTGTGGGCAGGGGTGGGGACTGTTATTCCCTGCTGGGAGGGGCAGACAAGGCTAACAGAAGGGCTGCTTGTTCATTCATTCATTCAACAACCCTTGGGGATTGGGACACGGGGCAGCAACAGGACACGGGACAGACTTAGGATCCTCAAGGAAGTTATGACACACGTTGGAGAACAAACAAGACTACAAGACTACAAAGTGGGTGGGGGAAGCTCATCCAGCCAGGGTGGTCAGGGGAGACCTCTGACGAGGTGGCAATGAGCTGGGACCTGAGGCACAGAACAAAGTACAGCCCCTGAGGCAGGGAAGAAGATGAGTGTCCCAGCAAGGGAGGAGGCTGGGAGGCAGGGCGAGGACGGGCAGGCCCTGGGCATCACGTGGAGAGGGAGGAAGAGCCTAGGGAGGGCTTTGGGCAGAGGCACACCATGACTCCAGCTCCAGCCTCTCCGGCCACTGGGGAACGGGTGAGGTGGCAGAGAGGAGCCCGGCTGCGTCAGGTCTGTTGGAGGCTGGGATAAGCTGCTGGCAGTGGAGGTGTGAGCACCAGTGGGATTCCAGATGCAGGGCCCTGGGACTTCTAGGAGTTTGGACTTGGGAAGGGGCGGGGGAGAGCATTCAAGGGAGAGGCTCCGGTTTTTGGCCTGAGAAACTGGATGGGTATAGGGCATTTACCACTGAGGTGTGAGGTGGGGAAAACTGGGGGCCAGTAAACGCTGAGCCCCTTTCTGCATCAGGCTCAGCCACCCCCTCTGCCCTGAGTGGGGGAGGGGCTCCTAAAGCTAAAGGGGGCCATAGCCTGGTCTGGCAAGGGGCGGAAGGTTCGAGGAGGGGCCCTGTACCAGGCCTCCCAAGCCCTCTGCAGGGTGGACGTACCTCGGGAGAACCTCAGCCCTTTGCCGGCAAACTCTGTTTTCAGGGCTTCCACGAACTTCTCCCGGATCTTCTCTTTCTGCAGAGGGGAGGGGGCGGATGGCAGCTCAGAGAACCTGCTGTGTGCCAGGCCCTGGCTGGGCACACAGTCCACGTGAGCGTGCTGAGCCTTCTAGGTGGGCTGAGAGTGTCCCAAGCTGTGAAGAAATGTTTCCACATGGCCGAGGCTGGCTGCACCTCCCGTCTCTGGAGAACAAGGCTGGTCACTGGACAGCCCCACGTGCAAGGCCAGCCTCGGCAGGGACTGGCACTGTGACCTCGAGCTGGTTACTCACTCTCTGGCCTCAGTGTCCTCATCTAAGGAAGGGAAGTACTCATCCCCACTTCAGCGTTCTGGAAGACAAGCTGGGTCAAGCATTTACACCAGCTCTGGGCCGGGGCAGGGCACATGGATCAGGAAGGTTTATGCCCCTCCAGTGCCAGAAGGGGGCAAACAAGAGCCAAAAATACTTGAGAAGGTGGGGAGTTAGCGTGTGGCTCCCCAACCCCATGCCAGGCATGGTCCATGTGCCACCTCATCCAGTCCTCATGACAGGCCATGGGATGGGAACTGTTATTACCCCCACCTTACACATAAGCAAACTGAGGCACACGGTAATAAAGCTGTTTTTCCAGGTTACGAGGCAAATGGGTAGAGCTGGGACTGGGAACCTGGGTGGCCAGGAAGGGATCACCTCTCAGCACGTGTGTGTGGGAGAGTGGTTGTTTGCCAATGACCAGTTGCAACTACTCCAACAAAAAAAGTCCCCGGGGCTGTGCGCAGTGGCTCACGTCTGTAGTCCCAGCACTTTGGGAGGCCAAGGTGGGCAGATCACTTGAGGCCGGAGTTTGAGACCAGCCTGAACATGGCAAAACCCTGTCCTTACTAAAAAATACAAAAATTAGGCCAGTGCGGTGGCTCACGCCTGTAATCCCAGCACTTTGGGAGGGTGAGGAGGGCCGATCACAAGGTTAAGAGATCAAGACCATCCTGGCTAGCGTGGCGAAACCCTGTCTCTACTAAAAGTACAAAAATTAGCTGGGTGTGGTGGCTCACACCTGTAGTCCCAGCCACTCGGGAGGCTGAGGGAGAAGAATTGCTTGAACCCAGGAGGCAGAGGTTGCAGTGAGCCGAGATTGTCCCACAGCACTGGGTGACAGAGCAAGACTCTGTCTCCAAAAAAAAAAAAAAAAAGGGTATTTCTTTGCAAGGCGCAGTGGTTCACACCTATAATCCTGGTGCTTTGGGAGGCTGAGGCAGAAGGCCCACTTGAGGCTAGGAGTTCAAAACTGGCCTGGGAGACACAGTGAGATCCCATCCCTACAAAAAATTTTAAATTTTAAAAATCAGCCTGGCATGGAGGAATGCACCTGTGGTCCCAGCTACTCAGGAGGCTGAGGTGTGAGGATCGCTTGAGCCTGAGAGATCAAGGCCGCAGTGAGCTAGGACTGGATCACTGCACTGCACTCCAGGCTGGGCAACAGAGTTAAGACCCTATCTCAAAAACAACAATAACGACAAAAAGTATGCCGTGTGCCAGGCATAGGAGATCCAGAGGAGAACAAGCCGCAGAAATCCCTGCCCTGATGGAGCTTACAGTTCTGGGACAGGGACAGACAGTAATTCGGGTTTTGAAAGTAGATGGTGGAAGTTGTCCAAGGCTGCCTGGGGAGAAATAAGGTAGGGGAAGGAGCAGGAAGTGCAGCAGTGGATGTGATACTCTGGGAGGCCCCACTGGGAAAAGGACAGGAAAGGTGATTTGAAGGAGAGGAGGAGGGACGAGCTGGGCCTGAGAGAAGTGTGCTCTGGCAGAGGCACAGCACTCTAGAATCAGCCAAGAGGCCATAGCTGGAGCAGAGGGCAGGGAGAGCCACCGAACAGGTCAGAGAATGATGGAACGACGTGGACGGACCAGCGTGGAAAGGTTTGGAAGGGTGGATCACTCCATCGCCGAGAGGGAGGGAGGCGTGGGGAGAAAAGCAAAATGCACATCAAGGTTCAGCAGGGGCAGCACAGGCAGAGGTGAGAGGACCTTGGTGTGTTCCAGGAATAGAAAGTGGAACTTGAAGGGCACAGAGAGGAGACGCGGAGAGCCGGAGCCAGGCAGAGCCCTCAGGGCTTAGGGCACCATAGCAGGGGGCTAGAACATCATCCAGCTGGAAATGAGGAGGCAAGGAAGGATTGTAAGTGAGGGGGCAGGGCTGGGAGGTGAATGCGGCTGACACGTTTGAAAGGTTCTAATGGGCCGGGCGCGGTTGCTCACGCCTGTAATCTCAGCACTTTTGGAGGCCCAGGCAGGTGGATCACCTTAGGTCAGGAGTTCAAGACCAGCCTGGCCAACGTGGTAAAACCCTGTCTCTACTAAAAAAGTACAAAACTTAGCTAGGTGTGGTGGTGCACACCTGTAATCCCAGCTACTTGGGAGGCTGAGGCAGGAGAATCGCTTGAACACCGGAGGTGGGAGTTGCAGTGAGCTGAGATCATGCCACTGTACTCCAGCCTGGGTGACAGAATGAGACTCTTATCTCCCTCCCCGCCCCCCCAAAAAAAGAAAGAAAGAAAGGTTCTCAGTGGCATTGCCGGAGAGCAGGCTGGCAGGGTTATGCAGTGGGTAGAGAGGGACAGAGAGGAAAGTTGGGGCAACCTGGGGCGGGGGAAAGCGGTAATCTAGAGTGGGGTCTCAGTTCTGCAGATGAACAGATTTGACACTGACTCGAGAGGCTGATGAAATAGGAGCTGTTGGACCCGATGTGGGTGGGAAGGTGGAAATGATGTTCCCAGGTGTTGGCCTGGCTCAGTGGGTGGCTGCTGGTGCTGGTCACCTAGGAAGGGGGACCAGCAGCGTTGGAAAGATGCACGTGTGTCTACAACAATGGCACACGGTAGGTGCCTGAAAGGGTATCAGTTAAATCAGAACACATCCCCCCAGTCTATTTTACCGATGAGAAAATAAAGGCTCAGATAAATTGAGTGACTGAGGCCTTACAGGCCTAAGGTTGCATAGCTAGTGGTACCTTGTCCAGTTCGGAGAACTCGATCCGTTCCTCCAGGGTGCAGCTCCGGCCGATGGGCGAGATGTTCAGCATGCCATTCCGGAACTCAATGAAGGTTCCACTGGTGGTGAGGGAGGGCGGGAGCCAGAGAGAACCAGAACGGCCCTGAATTCAAATCTAGCCCCACCTGGGACCCCAGCCTCCTAGGACTCCAAAGGGGAAAATAATCCACACTTCCCGTAAAAAATCAGGGGCCCAGGTATCTCCAGGCTCCCTCTGAGGGACCCACACTTCTCCTCCCTCAGGCCCCAGGTTCTGGAGACCAGGCTGGTGGGACCTCACCGCTTCTTGGGCAGCCTGAGCAGGGCCATGTAGCTGAGGCAGAAGTTGATCAAGTCCTGCAACAGCTCCTCCCCCAGGTGGTTCTGGATGGTCTGGCCAAGGAACACAGGGCTCTGAGTGCGGCCTAGGCTGCCTGACCCGGAGACAGGCACAGTGTCTCTCCCCCAGCCCCAGACAGAAGGCACCCTTGGACTGCTCCACTATGGAAAAGCGGGGTGCCCCTGGCTAAGCCCTGGGGGACACTGACCTGCTTGGAGAGCAGTCGTCCGTGCTTATATTGCACTGTCCCGTTCTCAGCAAACACATAATCAAACTTCTCAATGACTTCGGGGTCACATAGAGGACAGGAGGAAGAAAGACTGTGACACCAGGTCTGTGATCCCATAGGCAAGTAAAGAGACAGGAAGCCCGCACCCTTGGTTTCGTATTCAAAGGACATGTGTTCAATCTGAGGCTGCAACCTGCTTCTCCAGCCTTTCTCCTTCTGCAGTTTGGTTTTCTTCCAAAGAAGCCAGTCACACCTGTGGGCCTCTGCACACAGGCATCCATGCAGGTCCTTCTGTCAGGACCGCCCTTCCCTGGCTTCCCTGCCACTCATCCTCCAAGATCCAGCTTCCTCCTCTGGAAGCCATGCAGCACTCTCTGGCAGAGGGCATCATTTACACTCTGTGCTCCCCTGCCCCTCTGCAGATGAGCTTCCTTCTGCTCTACAGCTGCCATCGCACTGGGTTCTCAAGGCTGGCTGCATGGGAGAATTGGAGGTTTCAGCTCTGGCTGCCAGGAGAAGCAGCTGGAGTGGGTGGGAGGTGGGAGGTGCAGGGAGCACAGCTCAGAGGCTGTTGCGGGGTCTGGGTGGCACGTGGTTACCTAGACTATGAAGGCATGGTGGAGATGGAGACAGAGGGGACAGGGAGATATTTTGGGGTTTGCTGATGGAATAAACAAGAGGTGGGGAAAAGGAAAAATTCGAGGAAGTTTCTGGCTTGAGGAACTGGAGGCACCCACTTTGACTGGTCTGAGACCAGGAGCTCTGAGGTCCAATCAATTTTCTGGATAACTTCAGAGTCGTCCTCTGTTAAATGGGATGATCACGCCTACTCTAAAGTGTGATTGTGGGGATTAAATGCAATGGAATAACATTAACACATGATCATTTTTGACAAATGGTAGCCATCATTGGTTCTGCCCTTTTTTTTTTTTGGAAGCAGAGCCTCATTCTGTCACCCAGGCTGGAGTGCAGTGGCCTGATCTTGGCTCACTGCAACCTCCACCACTCAGGTTCAAGCGATTCTCCTGCCTCAACCTCCCGAGTAGCTGGGATTGCAGGCACGTGCCACCATACCCAGCTAATTTTTTGTATTTTTAGTAGAGACGGGGTTTCACCATGTTGGGCACGCTGGTCTTGAACTCCTGATCTCAAGTAATCCACCTGCCTTGGCCTCCCAAAGTGCTGGGATTACAGGCGTAAGCCACCATGCCAGCCAGTTCAGCCCATTTTAAAGATGAGGAAATCAAGACTCAGCAGGCAGAAATGAGAATGTAAACTGCATAAGGGCAGGTTTTGCTTGCTTTGTCCCAGCCATTTCTCTAGGGCCTGGCACAATCCCTGGCAATAGGAGGTGCTCAAGTGTTTGTCACATCAGTGAGGGAACTATCTGGCTGCTCTCTCTCTACTTCTGCCCCACAGAAGCAGGACCGGCTCTTTGAAGATGCCCAGGAATCTCTCAAACTCCCCACTCCCTCTACCCCCAGTCTCACTCTTACCTTCATCGCCGTCACCCAGCTGCTCAGCGATCTTAGAGTAGTCAGAGCCGCCCACCACACCGATCTGCACTCTACTTCGCAGCTTCTGCAGGAAGGCGGCCACCTCAGGGTCAATTTTCTATGGGGGGAGAGGGGAAGCATAGCATTCTGGCTTTCAGCATGTCTGGGACCTCCACGTAGCCCTCACTTAGTGCTCAGAACCCAGGGAGCCCACGTTCTAACTGGATCTGAAGCAGTACGAAGCTTAGACACCAAAAATTAGACAGGTTGGGCACCATGGCTCAGGTCTGTAATCCCAACACTTTGTGAGGCCATGGCAGAAAGATTGCTTGACCCAGGAGTTTAGAGCCTAGGCAGCAAAGGAAGACATCGTCTCTATGAAAAAAAAAAAAAAAATTTTTTTTTTTGGAGACGAACTTTTGCTCTGTCGCCCAGGCTGGAGTGCAGTGGTGTGATCCTGGCTCACTGCAACCTCCATCTCCCATGTTCAAGTGATTCTTCTGCCCCAGCCTCCTGAGTAGCCAAGACTACAGTTGCCCAACACCACACCCAGCTAATTTTTGTATTTTTAGTAAAGACGGGGTTTCACCATGTTGGCCAGGGTGGTCTCGAACTCCTGACCTCAAGTGATCTGCCCCCCTCGGCCTCCCAAAGTGCTGGGATTACAGGCATGAGCCAGTGCGCCTGGTCTTTTTTTTTTTTTTTTCTGTGGTGGAGTCTGGCTCTGTCACCCAGGCTGAAGTACAGTGGTGTGAACTCGGCTCACTGAAACCTCTGCCCAGGCTGGAATACAATGGCGCAATCTCAGCTCACTGCAACTTCTGCCTCCCGGGTTCAAGCGATTCTCCTGCCTCAGCCTCCTGAGTAGCTGGGATTACAGGTGCCTGCCACCATGCGCAGCTAATTTTTTTTTTTTTTTAAATTTTTAGTGGAGACAGGGTTTTGCCATGTTGGCCAGGTTGGTCTTGAACTCCTGACATCAGGTGATCCACCCACCTGGGCCTCCCAAAGTGCTGGGATTACAGGCATGAACCACTGCGCCCAGTCCATGCCTGGCTAATTTTTAAAAATTTTCGGTCGGGCGCGGTGGCTCATGCCTGTAATCCCAGCACTTTGGGAAGCCCAGGCGAGTGGATCACCTGAAGTCAGGAGTTCGAGATCAGCCCGGCCAACCTGGCAAAACCCTGTCTCTACAAAAGTTAAAAAATTAGCCGGGCGTGGTGGTAGGCGCTTGTAATCCCAGCTACTCAGGAGGCTGAGGCAGGAGAATCGCTTGAACCCGGGAGGTTGAGGTTGCAGTGAGCCCAGATCACGCCATCACATTCTAGCCTGGGGGACAAGAACAAGACTTTGTCTCCAAAAAAAAAAAAAAAATTAGCCAGGCATGGTGGCACTCGCCTGTAGTCCCAGCTACTCCAGAAGCTGAGGCGGGACAATCACTTGAGCTCAGGAGTTCGAGGCTGCAGTGAGCTGTGATGGCGCCACTGCACTCCAGACTGGCTGACAAAGCGAGACCCTGTCTCTAACAACAACAACAAAATAGCATCACAATCAAGTTGATTCTTGAGGAGCCAAAGAACAACAACAACAAAAATAGCCCCACAAAACAATGTTTAATATTTGCTCTGGGCAAACAGATCCAGATAAAGGCCTGGAGGAAAGCCACACCACAGTAACCACATTACCTTGGGGAGGGGGGCCAGGCCTGGGATCCTGGTGTAGTCAGAGGGGACTTTACCCTTCTCTGTTAGGTTTTCATTCTTTACCAGGAGAGTGTGATCATGAATATGTGTACAATTAAAAATTAACTTTCAAAAGGCACTAAGCACAGAGGCTGGCCCGTAGACAAATTAATAGGCTGTTCTTATTCAGGTTGTTATGTTTGTGGAACAGAAGGTCAGAGGGAGGCATCAGAACTGCACCTAGGCCCTGCCACCTTTGTTCCAGTTCTTTTGTTTATTTGTTTGTTTGAGATGGAGTTTCACTCTTGTTGCCCAGGCTGGAGTGCGATGGCACAATCTTGGCTCACTGCAACCTCTACCTCCTGGGTTCAATCGATTCTCCTGCCTCTGCCTCCTGAGTAGCTGGGACTATGGGCAGGCACATGCCACCACACCCAGCTATTTTTTTTTTTTTTTGGAGACAGAGTCTCGCTCTGTCGCCCAGGCTGGAGTGCAATGGCACATTCTCGGTTCACTGCAACCTCTGTCTCTCTGGTTCAAGCGATTCTCCTGCCTCAGCCTCCCGAGCAGCTGGGATTACAGGTGCATGCCACCATGCCTAGCTAATTTTTTGTATTTTTAGTACAGACGGGGTTTCACCATATTGGTCAGGCTGGTCTTGAACTCCTGACATTGTGATCTGTCCACCTCGGCCTCCCAAAGTGCTGGGATTACAGGCATGAGTCACTGAACCCAACCTCATTTTTGTATTTTTAGTAGAGACAGAGTTTCACCATGTTAGCCAGGCTGGTTTCGAATTCCTGACCTCAGGTGATCCACCCACCTCGGCCTCCCAAAGTGCTGGGATTACAGGCATGAGCCACTGCACCCAGCCCACCTTCGCTCCAGTCCTGTCATCTTCCTCCAGTCCTGTCATTTTCCTCCCGGACCCACCCCTGCAGGAAGGCAGAGCGGGCTGATTCTTCCTTGAGTCCTCAGGGCCCAAGCCAGGGTAATTTCACCACAGAGGATGGGGAGGGGCATTTGGGACCTAAGAGAGGAGGCTAAGACCTGGGTTCCCATCAGCCACTGCCCAGTAAAGCCCATCCCACTGTTCCCCCACGCTAGGAGACCTGTCGGTTGGTCCTTGAGGCCCCCAGACTGGAGGGTGGGTTACCCACAGGGAGGGCACGAATGAAACCTGCTTACTGATGCATCCAGCTGGTGAGGGGGCTTTTGGGGACTCACTCACAATGAGACCCAGTGGGAGAAAAACTGAGCAGAGGTAAGAGGCTCAACACAGTGAGTCTTTAGAAGAAAACCACACTCTTACCCTCACTATGCCTCAGTGTCCTCACAGCAAACAGACTAGGCCTGAAGCCTCTCACCTACGGGTGGGTAGAGCCCATAAACGAATTTGAAAAGAAGCCCTCTCTGCTCCACGACTGGGGGTGGAAGGTAAGGTGGATGATAGGGCTTCAGAAACTACACTCAGGCCCAGGCCTGCAAAGGTCGGGGTGGGAAGACTCTGAGACCCCCTGTCTCCTACCAGATGGTGACTGACACTTGGCTGCGTGCTTGTGTGCCTGGAACCCCGGTTCAGAAGCCAGCTCTGACCACTGGTGCGTTGTAGGGCTGAACTAGGGTGGGATCCCCAGCTCAGGAGGCTGGGGCCTCCGGGAGCCAGGCCCTAGGGGCATGTGAAAGCATCTGGGGACAGAGGGAGCTAGGCCCCTGATCGCAGCCTCTTCCCTCCAGTACTGGATCCTACCCCAACACTCCCAAGCAGAACACAGGCAGGGACGCTGCTGGGGCAGTGACGTGGAGGGCCAGGTCCCCTCACTCCCGGTGGGTGGCCCCGGATGTCAGGGGGCCGGGTACTGCCGCATGCTACACTCGGTCTCGGCGTGTCCACGGTCACTCTGCTGCAGATCCCACACTCAGCCTCGGGGGTGTCCGCGTGACACTCCCGGCGGGAGCTTCCAAACTTCAGGGTCCTACCTGGCGAGCCGGCGTGAGGGTCCCGTCCACGTCAAACAGGCAGAGGACCCGCTCCTTCCTGCGGGCTCCCTGGGCGGTGACTGCCATGGCTGCAGCTCCGCGCGCGGGGCGGAGTCTGGAAGATGCAGCCGCAGAAGCAGCGCAGGGATAAGATTCGACAGGGCGGGGCTTTAGGGGGCGGGGCCAGCAGACGGCCTGATTGCGCCGAAGGGGCGTGGTCTCGGCGGACCGAAGCGGGGGCGGGGCCTGAGTTGATTCTGATTGCTCCTGGAAGAGGCGGGCGAGGCATAGGGCGGAGCGCAGCCCTCCAGGTTCGATTGGATTCCTCCAAACAAGACGGAGGCGGGGCCTGAGCCTGGGCCCGGCAGGAAGTGAGTGAACCCGGAAGACAGGGGAGGGGCCAGAATTGGCGGGTTGATAGTGATTGCAACAGGCCGATTCAAGGGCTGGGTCGGGCGGGGCCTCTACCGTACTGTGCAGTGCCTGGTGGGCCAGGCGGGACTAAGAGAGCCGAGGTCGCTCGCCACTCTCACAAGACCTGTGGTCATCTCTTTGCCTTACAAATTTTGAGCTGTAGGAAATCTCCTGAGCCAGGCGCTGTGGCTCACGCCTGTAATCTCAGCAGTTTGGGAGGTAGAGGCGGGCGGATCACCTGAGGTCGGGAGTTCGAGACCAACCTGACCAACATGGAGAAACCCTGTCTCTACTAAATATACAAAATTAGCCGGGTGTGGTGGTGCATGCCTGTAATCCCAGCTACTCAGGAGGCTGAGGCAGGAGAATCGCTTGATTCCAAAGAAGCCAGAGGTTGCTTTGAGCGGGAAGCAGAGGTTGCTGTGAGCCAAGATCGCGCCATTGCACTCCAGCCTGGGCAACAACAGTGAAACTCTGCCTCAAAAAAAAGAAAGAAAAGAAAAGAAAAGAAAAAGAAATCTCCTGAAGGCCTTTGTTCAGGCTTTGGACTTGGCCAAATTTCCTTCCCCAAGACCCAGATCTCAGGGTCCACCTCCTTGGAGACCTTCCCCAGAGTCTTCCTTTTTTTTTTTTTTTTTTGAGACAGAGTCTCGCTCTGCCCAGGCTGGAGTGCAGTGGTGGGATCTCTGCTCACTGCAACTTCCACCTCCCAGGTTCAAGCGATTCTCATGCCTCAGCCTCCCGAGTAGCTGGGACTACAGGCGTGTGCCACCATGCCCAGCTAATTTTTGTATTTTTACTTATTTTTATTTTATTTTATTTTTTTTTGAGACAGGGCCTTATTTATTTATTTATTTATTTATTTATTTTTGAGACTGGGTCTCACTCTGTTACCCAGGCTGGAGTGCAGTGGCGCGATCTCGGCTCACTGCAACCTCTGCCTCCCGGGTTCAAGAGATTCTCCTGCCTCAGCCTCCCGAGTAGCTGAAACTATAGATGTGCCACCACACCCGGCTAATTTTTTTTTTTTCTTCCTGAGATGGAGTTTTACTCTTGTTGCCCAGGTTGGAGTGCAATGGTGCGATTTCAGCTTACCACAACCTCTGCCTCCCGAGTAGCTGGGATTACAGGCATGCACTACCACGCCCGGCTAATTTTGTATTTTTAGTAGAGATGGGGTTTCATCATGTTAGCCAGGCTGCTCTCCAACTCCTGACCTCAGGTGATCTGCCTGCCTCAGCCTCCCAAAGTGCTGGGAATGCAAGCGTGAGTTACCGTGCCCAACCAACCTTCCCAGATTATATTCACAAGTATTTAACCATTGCATTGACTTTGGGGTCAGTTCCAGGTTGTCTTCCCGGCTCCACCACTATGGGACCTTGGACAAGTCACTTCACCTCTCAGAGGCTTTGTGTCTTCACCTATAAAATGGGATGAACACCACCTACTTTGTAGGGTTGTTTTTCACATGAAAATAAATAACAGGCCGGGTGCAGTGGCTCACGCCTGTAATCCCAACACTTTGGGAGGCTGGGATGGGCGGATCACCTGCAGTCAGGAGTTTGAGACCAGCCTGGCCAACATGGGGAAACCCCACCTGTACTAAAAATACAAAAATTAGCCGGGCATGGTGGCAGGCGCCTGCAATCCCAGCTACTTGGGAGGCTGAGGCAGGAGAATCGCTTGAATGTGGAAGGCGGTGGTTGCAGTAAGCCGAGATCATGCCACTGCACTCCAGCCTGGGAGACAGAGCGAGACTCCACCTCAAACAAACAAACAAACAAACTAAATAATAACTGTAGAGTTGGATGCGGTGGCTCACACCTGTAATTCTAGTACTTTGGGAGGCCAAGGTGGGTGGATTGTTTGAGCCCAGGCAGTCAAGATCAGCGTGGGCAACATGGCAAAACCCTGTCTCTACTAAAAATACAAAAAATTAGCCGGGCGTGGTGGTGGGCACCTGTGGTCCCAGCTACGCAAGAGGCTGAGGTAGGAGAATCACCTGAGCCCAGGAAGTTGAGGCTGCAATGAACCAGATATTCCCACTGCACTCCAGCCTTGGTGACAGGAGTGAGACCCTGTCTCAAGAAAAAAAAAAAGGTGCGGATCATATGAGCCGGCAATTCAACTTTTAGGAAACAGGAAAAGAAGGCCAAGCGCAGTGGCTCACGCCTGTAATCCCAGCACTTTGGGAGGCCGAGATGGGCAGATCACGAGGTCAGGAGATCGAGACCATCTGGCTAACATGGTGAAATCCCGTCTCTACTAAAAATACAAAAAATTAGCCAGGCGTGGTGGCGGGCGCCTGTAGTCCCAGCTCCTTGGGAGGCTGAGGCAGGAGAATGGCGTGAACCCAGGAGGCAGAGCTTGCAGTGGGCCGTGATCCGGCTACTGCACTCCAGCATGGGCGACAGAGCAAGACTCCATCTCAAAAAAAAAAAAAAAAAAAAAAAAAAGTCAAGAAAATAGAAAAAGGAAAAATACATGGAATTGTTTAAATGAACTAAGACCCATCTAGAAGATGAAATGCTATGAAGCCATGAAAATCTGCATTGTTTGTGTGCGTGTGTGCGTGCGTGTGTGTGTGTGAGAATAGGGTCTATCTTATCCAGGCTACTCTCAAACTCCTGGCCTCAAATGGTCCTCACGACTCAGCCTCCCAAAGTGTTGGGATTACCGGCGTGACCCACCGCACCAGGCCCCCATACACGATTCTTGTTTTTCTGACTGGGTAGCTATGGTGTCCTGGAGAGATCACTGGAGTTGGAATCAGGAGAACTGCAGTTTGGTCCTGGCTAAGTATAAGGACTTGGACAGGTCACCTTTCCTCACTGGGCTTCAGTTTCTTTATATCTAATGAGGATATAAACCCCACCTGATAGAACTATGAAAGGTGAGATAGTAAGAACTGATGCTGGCCAGGCGCGGTGGCTCATGTCTGTAATCCCAGCACTTTGGCAGGCCAAGGCGGCGGACCACGAGGTCAGGAGTTCGAGACCAGCCTAACCAACATGGTGAAACCCCGTCTCTACTAAAAATACAAAAATTAGCCAGGCGTGGTGGTGCATGCCTGTAATCCCAGCTACTCAGGTGGCTGAGGCAGGAGAATCACTTGAACCCAGAGGTTGCAGTGAGCCAAGATCACACCACTGCACACTCCAGCCTGGGCGACAGAGTGAGACTCTGTGTCAAAAAAAAAAAAAAAGAACTGATGCTTATTAATCCTCTACTATGGGCTGACCACTATACAGGACACTTGACCAGGTTATCTTCACTTTCCTGTTCCATGACTGAAGAATTCCTAGAAACAGGTTAAGTGCAAATTCCTGGGCCCCACCCCTGGTGCTTGGATCCAGAATGTCTGGAATGTGGCCCACTGGGCAGGAGGAGTTTTTGTCTCCTATGGACTGGATCCACCTTTCTAAAAACAAAGATAAGCACCCTTGGCCCCTTAACAAATGGGCTGCTTCTTACAAATCCCTTTCCTACAGTCTCTCCCTAAATTCTCATCACAACCCTTTCCACATGATGAGGCCACTGAAACTCAGAGAGGGAGAGTTATTTGCCCTGAGGTACAGACCCAGGAGGACCAGGTGGGGGGTACCTGTGGCTACCACTGTGTCCCTTTAAGAGGAAGGCTCATCCCTGGCAACTGGTGCTCAGATGGGGACCAGGGGAGGCCTTGGGGAGAGAAGAGCAGGACTGGTGCGAGGGAAGACTGGCCAGAAGGGTGACTTGAAGGGACCCAGAGGAAGCCAGGACTGAAAGTGGAGGGCCTGAGACCTGAGCCTGGCAAGAGTCTGCTATGAAGGTAAGACCCTGGGCTCTTCTGGGCCAGATGTGTGGCTGAAGTTTGGAGGTTAGTGACTTTCATGTTTGGTTTGGGTGTTTCACTTACTTTTCCCAACACATCTCTGAAGAGAGTACCCTTATATTCAATTTGCAGAGATAGGTACTGACATCAGAGAGGTGCAGTGGCTTCCCTAGGGTCACACAGCACCGTCAAGATTCCTCCTCAGTCCCGTCTTGCCAAAACCCAGGCTTTTCCCTGGCTCCTGGCTATTGGTAGGAGGCCATGTGTCAACATGTCTGAGTACTGGAGCTGTCCATGCTCTTTTTCTGTACCTGGTATGTGACTTGTTATATATGGGTGCTCCAGGCCCAAGGGGCAGCCTCTGTGTAGTGGGGTTTACAGGCAGGCTGACAATTCCTGGAGCTCTCCTCCCACTAGTGACTTTGGGCAGGTCCGTCCCACTCCCTGAGGTTGTCGTTCATTTACAAATGGGGTCAACACCCTCCTAACGCTGTGTAGTTAAGAAGCCTAGGGGCAGCAGGGGAGGTGTGCTGTGTGCTGAGGTTGGGGGAGACTGTGGATTTTGTTTGTTTGTTTTAGATCTGTTGCCCAGACTGCAGTGCAGTGGCAGCATCTCACGATCTCCGCTCAATCCAACCTCTGCCTCCCGGGTTCAAGCGATTCTCCTGCTCCCGAGTAGCTCAGGTTACAGGTGCATACCACCACACCCAGCTGATTTTTGTATTTTTAGTAGAGATGGGGTTTTACCATGTTGGCCAGGCTGGTCTTGAACTCTTCACCTCAGGTGATCCGCCTGCCTCGGCCTCCCAAAGTGCCGGGATTACAGGCGTGAGCCACCTCGCCTAGCCTTTTTTTTTTTTTTTTTTTTTTTTTTAACTTTCACAATGCCTGCAGTGCTTACATCGTCTTCACAATAAACAAGTCCATAGAATCTAAACAAGCTGAAGGGCGCATGCTCAGATGGCTTTGTGGGAGGTGGAGGCTGTTGCTGGGTTGGCTCAGGCCCTCTGGAGCTCTCTCAGCCAAAGTCAATGGGAGCAGATAGGGCCCAGGCCACAGCACTGTTCCACCTGGGGGTGGGGAACAGGAGCTGCAGCCTGGCAGCTGGGGTCAGTGGTCTCTGCAGGTCAGAGCTCAGCCCAGGACTGTAAGAACTTGGGCAAGTCTCTGTTCTGACCTCGCAAGCCAGGGGTGGAGAGCGGAGTCACACTGGGAGGGACTCAGAAAGGATCCAACACATAATTTGCATTCTCCAGATGAAGAAACTGAGGCCCAGAGAGGGGAAGGCCTTTGTTATGGTCTCAAAGTCTGGGGCTCACCCCATGACAGGCCCTCCCCTGGGAGGTACTGGGCTGGCTGGTGGGAGTGTGCTGGAGGCACCCATGGGAGCAAAAAGTGAGCTCTGGGAGGGGACAGGTCAGAGGACATGCTGGCACTGGACTTTAGCACTGAACAAGGGGTGGGGAAAGGAGATCCAGGTGGAGTAAAGGGTGAACCAAGGCCCGGAGGTCTGAAACCACCAGAAGTGACAGGGACTGGGACTGGCACTTGCGCCAGGGTGTGGGGTAGGACCAGGGTGTTCAAGGACAAGATTGAGAAGGGCCTTGATAAATGAGGACAAGGAGCTTGGCTCTTACCCCATGGGCTTGTAGGGGGCCACGCAGGGGCTGAGGGGAGCTGGACAAGCTTACTGAGGTGGCCAAGGGTACCCAAGACCAGCCTGGTGTTGGGCGTTGGGCAGTGGGCTGGGCCTGGTGTGCAGGGCCACAGCGCCACCTGGTGTCCATCACTCTCACTGCAGCGTAACCTTGCCTGGCTCTCCAACCTGGGAACCAGTGGGGCAGCCTCGTCCCAGACACTCTCTGCCTTCTTCAAGAGCAGCCAGGCTCTGTGGTCAAGGGCTTACATTCAGTGGTGTGTCAGGCCCCCGCTAGGCTCCTTGCCTGACCTCTCAGCTACAGCCTGTCTGGGCGTGAGGAGTCACAGACCCAGCCTAAAGCCAAGTTGAAACTAGAAGTGAACACTTTTTGATGAGGTCAGACACTCCTGATGGCTAGAGGAAGACTACAGAATTTGAAGTTATCAGACAAAGCCTTGAGCTGCACCAGCTGCAAGGTGAACTTGGGCAAGTGATATTCTCTCTGGGCCCTTCTCTCATCTTTATAAAACAGTGGTGAAATTCAGACATCCTTCCCTGTTATCACTTCTCATCCACGGGCTCACAACCATGCAAAGGAAACACATCCAGACCCCGCAGAGTTAAGCTCCAAGGGACCCAAAAGTCTGGGGTCACTTCATGTTGGACGCATGTGCAGACCTGATTCAGGCACCACACAAATGCAGCAGGCAGAAATGAATTTATTGCATTAGAAAAAACACCAAAGAAAACCAGCAAACATCTCCGTCCTAGACACAGTTATTAGTTTGACTCAAGGGCATAAAGAAAACCCATAAAGAAAACCTAGATTTACTTCTGGGAGGGGGTGATGGTCTCATCCCTCCTCCTTCCCTATCTCTTTAAACCAATGGACCTCTAGGGAGGTGTCCGATACACTGTGTGATACAAGTACGTGACTCATTTCCCACTCTGCTTGCCTGTTCACATCCAGGTGGAGTTAGCTGGCCACAATGAGAATGCTCCTGAGGTGCTGGGACAGACAGAAATGTGAGGATGGGGGTGGGCAGTTGAAGCCTGAGCCTGAGTTTACACAGTTAGTGACACTGGGGCTCCCATCAGGGGAGGGAGAGCTTGCCTTGACATGGAGCTCTGGGAAAACTGCTCACTGATCCCTCGATCTCTCCCCACAAACCCTAGGGCACAGGCAATGGCACAAATGGCTGCTAGTATAAAAGGGGGTGCTGTTCAAGGACATGAGTGCCTCAAATTCTCTCAGGGGAGCTGCCCCTGGGCCTAAGGGTACCTGCTGGGAGAAGCAAACCAGCTGAAACTGGATCTGGGAGAGGAGAAAGAAAAAAAGGAGCTGTGATGCCCAGAACCCCCTGCATGGAAGGGAGACCCCAGGCAGAGGGATCTGAAGCAGGAGCCTGCAAGGCAGAGCCGGGCAAGGCAAGCTGGAAAAGGGGACAACACTGGTGGGAAACAGAGCACTGGCCAAGACCAACCTGCTACCCTCCCAGAAGAAACCCAGCCTGAGAAATTCTTTCTCTTTGGGCCCAGTTCTGCCAGTAGATCACCATTATACAATAGTCCCTGCTGGTTTCTGCTCTAATTTATTATTTCCATGCACATTGGCAAATCAGTGGGTCTTGAGAAGAATTAAACTTTCACTCATTTGGCCTGTAATCTTCAAGTTTCCAAATGTCACTTGACATCCCAGCTGGTCATGCCCCTGGTCAGGTCACAGGCAAACACTAAGGCAGAATGACATCTCCTCTAGCTGAGACTCTGATGATGCCAACTGCTATGGCTAATGGCAGATAGCAGCAGATGGGGCCAGAAGTGAGTAGCAGCTTTTTGGAGAGGAAAGGCCCCTGCTGCAGGCCAGACTTCCAGGAAGAAGCAACATAATTCAAGTCCGCGAGGTGGCAGGAAGTTGTGGCAGAAGGGGCCCAAGGATGTCAGAGCTGAGACTTGGGTACCTGGCAGCTCTGAGTCCCTTCTTCACACTCACTTTCCCAAAATCTAACTAATGGAGGTTCACATGAAGAGAGGGAATCTGAAAGTCTCTCTGGATTAGAGACTCCCAGACTGTTTCCTGCCTATAAACTGCTAGCAGCAAGTCATTAGGAAAATGCCCACTCATGCCCCAACCTGCTTTCCCTAAAGTCAGAATGACAACGGAAATAATCTGTGCCTTCAAAACACATTTAGGATAAGGGAAAGTCCCTATCAGAAATGATTCTAAATTTTCTTGCCACCTTGATTCCACATCATTTTATTTTTTTGAGATGGAGTCCCACTCTGTCACCCAGGCTGGAGTGCACTGGTACAATCTCGGCTCACTGCAATCTCCGCCTCCTGGGTTCAAGGGATTCTCCTGCCTCAGCCTCCCGAGTAGCTGGGTCTACAGGTATGTGCCACGGCGCCCAGCTAATTTTTGTATTTTTAGTAGAGACAGGGTTTCACCATGTTGGCCAGGCTGGTCTTGAACTCCTGACCTCAAGTGATCTGCCTGCCTCGGCCTCCCAAAGTGCTGGGATTACAGGCATGAGCCACTGTGCCCGGCCTCACATCATTATTCTTTCCATATCAAAGGTATTTTCCAGCCAGGTGCTGTGGCTCACCCCTGTAATCCCAGCACTTTGGGAGGCTGAGGGAAGTGGATTACCTGAGGTCAGGAGTTCCAGACCAGCCTGGCCAACATGGCGAAAGCTGTCTCTACTGAAAATACAAAAATTAGCCTGGCGTGGTGGCACGCACCTATAATCCCAGCTACTCGGGAGGCCGAGGCAGGAGAACCGCTTAAACCCGGGAGGTGGAGGTTGCAGTGAGCCGAGATCACGCCACTGCACTCCAGCCTGGGTGACAGAGCTCTCAAAAAATAATAATAATTAAAAAAAGGTATTTTCTTAGAGCAGGGAATCCCGTCCCTTGGTCCCCAGCTGAATACTGCATACTGGTCTGGATGGTGGTTACAGAGACTGCAAATAACCTACATCATTACTTGTAGAAAAAAGGCCTTGGTCCCTGCTGCTCCAGCCCAGACCTCATCAACTATGACACATCAGCTATGCTGAGGAAAAGCAGCCTCGGAGGCACCAAGGCAGGTTTCCCAAAATTGATGGCAGAGGATTGGCAATCCATCTAGGTGGAAGGAGGAATGGCTTTATCCTGTTTTCTCCAGCCTGATACTTGCTGTTACTCCCTTGATCCTGAGGCAATGGCTGCTCCAGCACTGGCCTTGCTTGTGGTAAGGGAGGGAAGGTGAGGAGGGTTGTGGCTGAAGAGTTCACTTAGGTTGGGTTAGTCATCCTGAAACTGGTCCCATGTGCACCAAATCCTTTGGTTCATTTAACACTAGAGTAACTGTTTCCGGGTCACGGATGTTCTAAAACTCACCTGGGTCCCACAGGTGGTGGCAACTTGGGTAGAGCGTGAGTGTTCTCTGGAAAGAGTTCTAGGTTGGGGCTCCCGCAAACTGTGACTCTTGCTTTCTGTTTAAACAAAGCCCCTCCCTTTCTCCAGTGTGGTGGACGCTTAGGAAACAGCATCCGAAGTGAACTCACAGACAAGACAGCCTTAATAAATTAGTATAATACTATTAGAAGGGGTGGCATTTTGTTCTGTTTCTTAGCAGCATTGTCTACATGCGGCCTGACAGTCTCCTTCCCTGGGAAATTTAAAAAGCCGTCCCTTGGTTGTTAGCTCTGATGTAAAATTATAAAATAGAAATCTGGTAGGGTTTGTTTTGTTTAAAAAGGAAAAACCCTGGTGAGGCAGGGCGGTCCCAGGCAGTCCTGTTAGCTCTGGCCGTTGGGTCTGCCCACAGAGCTCCCTCCCGGAGGCTGGATCTGAATGGAGTCCAGGAGGGGCCGAAGTGCCTGTCCAAAGGGCCTGCAAGGAAACAGAGACACGAGAGGGGTGGGCTTTGGGATGTGGCCTGCTGTCACACACCCTGTGCTGCCTACGGGTAGGGAGGAGGAGTGGGCGCTGGTGGCAGCAGCAGCACCGCCAGAGAAGGAAGGAGCACCTCGTCACCTTACTTAAGTTTCCCACCTGCCTCACACTCAAGTGTTCTTGGAGGACATCTCCGAAATAGCCTGCTCTGTGTTTTTATCCCCGGGATTCCCTCCTCAGGGCCTCACCTCTAGAGCCTGGTTAGCTGTGGTTTGAACAGGCTGGCTACATACAGGGAACTAGAATTTTGCTTTATGTGCTTGTGTCTTTAATTCTCGTGAGCAAGGAAAATATCAAATTGAAGCAAGGAAACTGAGGCAAAAGAAGAAGGATATGAAAAAGAAGACAAAAGTTAGGGGTGAGGACAGCACCCAGTTGGATTTTTTCAGGAACAGAGGTCTGCCAGGGAGTACAGGGAATATTCAGAAAAAAGGACAAATGCAAGGTTACCAGTATTGATGCCTTTCTTTCACCCTGAGACAGAGTCTTGCTCTGTAGCCCAGAGCTGGAGTGCAATAGTGTGATCTCGGCTCACTGCAACCTCTGCCTCCTGGGTTCAAGCAATTCTCCTGCCTCAGCCTCCCAAGTAGCTGGGATTACAGGTGTGTGCCACCACAACTGGCTAATTTTTTTATTTTTAGTAGAGATGGGGTTTCACCATGTTGGCCAGGCTGGTCTCGAACTCCTGACCTAGTGATCTGCCTGCCTCGGCCTCCCAAAATGCTAGGAATTAAGGTCTGAGCCACCGCGCCCAGCCATTAATGCCTTTCTTTTTTGAGACGGAGTCTCGCTCTGCCGCCCAGGCTGGAGTGCAGTGGCCGGATCTCAGCTCACTGCAAGCTCCGCCTCCCCGGGTTTACGCCATTCTCCTGCCTCAGCCTCCCGAGTAGCTGGGACTACAGGCGCCCGCCGCCTCGCCCGGCTAGTTTTTTGTATTTTTTAGTAGAGACGGGGTTTCACCGTGTTAGCCAGGATGGTCTCGATCTCCTGACCTCGTGATCCGCCCGTCTCGGCCTCCCAAAGTGCTGGGATTACAGGCTTGAGCCACCGCGCCCGGCCCATTAATGCCTTTCTAAAGGGCTTTTAGTTTGCTCTCACAGTAACAGATGGAAAAAAACACTGCAAATACTGGAGTTTGGAGATTTTCCATGATTACGACAACCATAAATAAGGTTGCCCAAACACTTTTAAGTCACTGGCTTTTTCTTCAGTGGATACTGCTATTTTTGAAAACCATCTCCAAGTTCAAAGGAATGAAGTACTCCAAAGTATAGACAGATGAAACCTAGAAATATCAACCCTATTGGCCGGGCGCGGTGGCTCAAGCCTGTAATCCCAGCACTTTGGGAGGCCGAGACGGGCGGATCACTAGGTCAGGAGATCGAGACCATCCTGGCTAACACGGTGAAACCCCATCTCTACTAAAAAATACAAAAAACTAGCCGGGCGAGGTGGCGGGCGCCTGTAGTCCCAGCTACTCAGGAGGCTGAGACAGGAGAATGGCCCGAACCCGGGAGGCGGAGCTTGCAGTGAGCTGAGATCTGGCCACTGCACTCCAGCCTGGGCGACAGAGCGAGACTCCGTCTCAAAAAAAAAAAAAAAAAAAAAAAAAAAAAAAAAAAAAAAAAAAAAAAATATCAACCCTATTTCAGACAATTCCAGGAACTCCACCCATCAAATAATAACAGCAAGAACATTCTGGTTACTCCAGTTTGCTCAGGGCCCCATAACCTAGATCCCTCAGCAGAGCTGTGGGACTGCAAACTCATCGAATGATAGGAAGGCAGGGCCAGGGCTGGCGGACTGGGGCTCCTCACCAGCCTGCCACAGCAGCCTTGTTTCCTATGCAAGCTCTTCCTGGGAGGTTCTTCCTCAGGTATGAAAAACAGCCCACTTTGCTGGGCCTGCGAAACCTGCCAGGATCTCTGTTGAGTAAGGCCATAGTTCAGGAGAAACTGAGTCAGAATAAGCAAATAGACATGGTCCTGGAATGAGCAGAGGCTGCCTGAATGCAATCAATGGCAAGGGGATGGAGGAGGTGAGATGGCTATGGGGGTGTTGTGTCCTTTCGGGGTATACTGCCTGGATGATGGCCTGCAAGGCTCTTCCAAGGCTTGGGCCACATAAGGACAGAAGGGGCTGCAGAGTGTTCTTGAAGAAAACATCTGTTGAGGACTGACTGTGCTGTAATGCATGAGGGCAAGTAGAACATAGTCGTTGAGGGAGTCAAAGAGCTCATGGTGTAGTGGAAGACAGGCAAATCAACAGCTATAAAACAAGCTCCCCTACTATTTTTCTGACCCCCTCTCTGCTTGTCTAACATTGCATTTTAACTGGGTGCTTCTGGGGAGTGGTATGCCTCGAGCACAATGGGAAGGACAGACGCCAGAATTTTGTGCAAATACTGAAGCCAGTGTCAAGTGGGTTTCTAAGTTCTGTGGTTGCACTTAGGCCAGGGCAGAGCTAATCTAGCTCTGAGGGTGGAGGTAATACAGGTGCGCATCAGTGGGTGGAGAGAATGGCAGCTTTCTGTGTTAGAACCTGCCATCAGGGCAGGCCCATCTGGTTGGGAGGGCAGATGGGGACCAGAGGAAGGGCACTGACCGTGAATGGGGATTTTCAAGGTTGGCCAAAGCACGGGCAGGGACAGAGGCCACACTTACGTGGAGAGAACTTCAGAGGGCAGGTCTGTGATGTAAGAAGGAATCTTCCGCCCAGTCAGGAACTGTGCCACTTCGTTGCTGAAGGTGTTACAGTTGTGTTCAAAGAGGTTGTAGGCCTCACCTCTGTACATTGAAAGGTTTGCAGAACATATATGAGAAACCAGCAAGCGTCTATGTGGAATAACTCAAGCTAGGCAGTGGAATGGTGAGCACAGTTCAATGTGAGGACTGCGATTTCCCCCCTCTCATCTGCCAGAAGCACTGCTTATTTGCCATTCTGGCCATTAATAACTGATTTTTAAGGGAAGGAGAAACTGAAAAGACATGGCTCCTCCACACTTTCAGAAGAATCTTTTTTTTTTTTTTGAGACGGAGTCTCACTCTGTCGCCCAGGCTGGAGTGCAGTGGCCGGATCTCAGCTCACTGCAAGCTCCGCCTCCCGGGTTTACGCCATTCTCCTGCCTCAGCCTCCCGAGTAGCTGGGACTACAGGCGCCCGCCGCCTCGCCCGGCTAGTTTTTTGTATTTTTTAGTAGAGACGGGGTTTCACCGTGTTAGCCAGGATGGTCTCGATCTCCTGACCTCGTGATCCGCCCGTCTCGGCCTCCCAAAGTGCTGGGATTACAGGCTTGAGCCACCGCGCCCGGCCTCAGGAGAATCTTTACATTCACAAAAGCAGAGCTCTGGTGTTAGAGTTTACCCCCTTACTCAAATCGACTAAAGCCTCTTTAAGAGAAAATCTGCCTGTTTGTATCTCATCCCAACCCTTCTGCAAACCCTGTTTTTCCTTCTGCAAACTTGGCCAATACAGGTTGAGAATAGCGCTTGCTGATTTTAATCAGAAGGAATGAAAAGCCCTTATTTCCTCTAAAAATTTCAGCAGAAAGTATGCTTGAAGGAGTATCTGTATCAGAACAACTTAGAGCTTTTTGTAGCATAACTGCCTTTTCTTCATGTTAATTCAGCAAAAAACTGGCCCAGGCCTTGTGCTGAGTGATAAGGATGATATGACATGACAGCTGCCTCCAGGGGTTATCTAGCTGGGGAGACAGACACAACTAACCACCACCCCTGTGTTCACTCACCGGAACAGGGACTCCCCCAGGGAGGACAGGTACTCCAGAAAGATTTCTTCTGTGACTTCTGTACTCCCCACGTCAACCACAGAGTCTGGGGGCCCAAGCAATGTCCCCCCCTAAAAAAGCCAACCCAAAGAAAGTCATTAAATTACCATCTCCACTGAATGTTTTAATGTGGCTTCCCACAGTAGACCACGAACACTGTTCTGACTTCACTTTTTTTTTTTTTTTGAGACAGAGTTTCTCCGGTCACCCAGGCTGGAGTGCAATCTCAGCTCACTGCAACCCCCGCCTCCTGGGTTCAAGTGATTCTCCTGCCTCAGCCTCCCAAGTAGCTGAGATTACAGGTGCCTGCCAACATGCCCAGCTAATTTTTAGTATTCTTAGTAGAGATGGGGTTTCACCGTGTTGGTCAGGCTGGTCTCGAACTCCTGACCTTAAGTGATCCACCCACCTAGGCCTCTCAAAGTGCTGAGATTACAGGTGTGAGCTACCGCCCCTGGCCTGACTTCATATTTAACTTGCAGAGCACCCTGGGCAGATGAAGAATGCTATTAGCTATTTGTATCAGGGATGCAATGGCTTAGAAGCATGGGTGTCCAATCTTTTGGCTTCCCTGAGGTACACTGGAAGAAGAATTATCTTGGGCCACACACAAAATACACTAACACTAATGACAGCTGATGAGCTTAAAAAAAAAAAAAAAAAAAAAAAGGCTGGGCGTGGTGGCTCATGCCTGTAATCCCAGCACTTTGGGAGGCTGAGGCAGGCAGATCATGAGGTCAGGAGATCGAGACCATCCTGGTTGACACAGTGAAACCCCGTCTCTACTAAAAGCATAAAAGATTAGCCAGGCATGGTGGTGGGCGCCTGTAGTCCCAGCTACTCCGGAGGCTGAGGCAGGAGAATGGTGTGAAGCCGGGAGATGGAGGTAGCGGTGAGCCGAGATCGTGCCACTGCACTCCAGCCTGGACAACAGAGCAAAACTCCGCCTCAAAACAAAAACAAAACCAAAACAAAAAACAAAGAAAAAACCCTCATGTTTTAAGAAACTTTACAAATTCATGTCGGGCCACATTCAAAGCTGTCCTGGGCCACATGTGGCCCGCAGGCTACAAGTTGGACAAGCCTGGCTTAGAGCTTTCTGGTGACTTTTCATTGCTATGTGCTAGCAGCATGGAAGAAGTCAGACTTCTTGTTTCTGGGGGGGCCCTGGGAAGCTGATTCTCTTGCAGCTCTGACTCCTGATGCTGTCCACTTATTTAGCTGAGAAAAAGAGAGAAACCCAGAATGTGAAGTCTACTTTTGTTCCCAGTATGTCTCATCATGAGGACAGAACAGGACAATAGAAATGGCTCACACTTCATAGGCCACCTTTCCATGCCTATTTGCATAAAGTATGCAGCCAGTTTTTCTTATGACATACTTGATATCTCATGTAACACTGGAAAGATGAGAAGGACAGTGAGAAATCTGGCAGGCTGGCAGATATTTCCATAATTCAATTCTTTTTGGATCTGTGAGCCTAATCCAATGATGGTGATGGGGCAAGAGAGTTAATGGCTCCTGAAAGGCCTACAGAGAACCCTCAGCCATGTGGTTAACAGTCTGCCAGAGAAGACTGAAGGAGAGAGTGAGGTTGAGTGGGGAAACCAGGCACTGTGGAAGCAACGGGATCAGCAAGGAGAAGAAATCTGGGAAGGGATAACACTCCAGAATAGAGCTCCCTGAAAAGATCTTTCATTCATAGCTACTGAGCACCTCCTACATAGCTGACATTGTTCTGGGCACTGAGGAAAGCATGGTGAGGAAGATAACTATGGTAGGCAGAGAACAATTCTCTCAGAGTTGTAAGAGACTAAAAGGTCACTCTGACCCTCTTATTCACTCATATAACAAATATGAATTGAGAACTTATTGTGAGTCAGGCCTCATGCTGGGCACTGGGGCTGTGGTGTGGACAACATAGATGAGATTCTTGCCCTTAAGAAGCTTAGTCTAGCAGGGAAGGGAGATTGAAAAATCCCATAACCAGTATATAATTATGAGCTGCAATTAAGAGCATGCTGGAAAAGTACAGAATGCCAGCGGTACATATGACAGGAGACCTTCCTGGCCTGAGGGGTCAGGGAAAACTTGCCTGAGAAAGTGACACAACTCAAATCTGAAGGATGGAGAGGTGTAACCAGGTGAAGGATTAAGAAGGTGTACTGATGTCAGAGTGCAGGTTTCAATGTCTAAGGTGTGTTCAAAGAATGAGAAGAGAGTGAAGGTTGGGAGAGAACAACCTGAAAGAGGCTGCCAGAGACAGAGTCAGAGACCAGATCAGGTAGGTCCTGGGAGGCCACGCTGAGCTTTCTGGCTTTTATTCCAAAAGCAATGGGAGAATTCTGGCTTATGCAGGGGATTGCTTGAGTCCAGGAGTTTGAGATCAGTCTGGGCAACATAGGAAGATCCTATCTCTACAAAAAATAGAAAAAAATAGCAGGGCGTGGTGGTGCTGAGTCCTAGCTACTTGGGAGGCTGAGGTGGGAGGATTCATTGAGCCTGGGAGGTGGAAGCTGCAGGAAGCAAGATTGCGCCACTGCATTTCCAGCCTGGATGACAGAGCAAGATCCTGTTTCAAAAAAAAAAAAAAAATCCTTCCTGCAGGATATAGCAAAAACAAACAACAACAACCACCACCACACAAACAAACACACAACCAAAATGAATGGCTGCTTGGCCACTGCTTCGGCACCTACTGTGACAACACTTGGATAACTGAAAGAAATTTTTGGAAAAGGCCAGGTGCTGTGGCTCACACCTGTAATCCCAGCACTTTGGGAGGCCGAGGCGGGTGAATCACGAGGTCAGGAGTTTGAGATCAGCCCAGCGAACATGCTGAAACACCGTATCTACTAAAATATACAAAAAATTAGCTGGGTGTAGTGAAGGGCGCCTGTAATCCCAGCTACTTGGGAGGCTGAGGCAGGAGAATGGCGTGAACCCAGGAGGCGGAGCTTGCAGTGAGCCGAGATGGCGCCATGCACTCCAGTTTGGGTGACAGAGCGAGACTCCGTCTCAAAAAAAAAAAGAAATGTTTGGAAAAGGGTGTGGGCTTTAGTGTCATAATCCTAGGTTCTAGGACTGGTGTCACTTATTGGCTGTAAGTTTGGGCAACTCTTGATGCTTCTCAGAGCCCTCATCATTCAGCTTAACATCAGTTGTGTTCCTAGGATGAGCCGGGCACTATGCAGGGGATGGAGATGGAAGGCCTCAGCTCACTTCCACAGTTCCCTGCAGAGAACCAGAAACGGCTCATTTCACCATAACACGCTCTCTGTGAGACAGAAGGACCCACACGTGCCATGGGAACAGAGAGGAGGGGAATTGGCTGGGGTGTCTGGGAAAGGTTTTCTTGAGCTGAGTCTTCAGGTGGCTTCAAGGAACAATGCCAGAGGTCCACAGTAGAAGCAAAGCTCCTGGTCTACAGGCGCCCCCAGGAACCTGAGACTGCAGGACAGAATGTAGGGGAAGACACTTACCGGGGGGCAGCTGGAGATACCACCACTGCCGAAGAAGAACTCATCCTTGTGCACAACTATGGATGTGTGCCTGTCACATAGAGAGAGACACAGTGAGCCAGAAAACTTAAACTTTGAGAAAAAGCAAACACCATAATGCAATGAGAATAATTTCTGCCCAAGGATAGGACTGTGGGGACCAGTCTTATAAAACCAGTCTTATAAAACCAACAAACCAAAGGTATGAATATGATAAATACCACAGATCAGGGGTTCTCCATCTTGGCACTATTGACATTTGAGGCTGGATAGTTCTTTGTTGTGCAGGGTTGTCCTGTGCATTCTAGGCTGTTCAGCATCCCTGCCTCTATCCACAAGATGCCAGTAGCATCCTCCTCCCTGTGTGACAACCAAAAATATCTCTGGACATGGCCAAATGTCCCAGGGTGAGAGAGCAAAAGAACTCGTGATGGAGAAGCACTGCTTTAGGGCTTGAAGATTTATAGCATGGAGAACTAGGTTTCATGCTGGAAGCCACAGACTAAAACCTGAAATGCATAGAGTGCTGCCTTATTTCAAAACTAGTCAAAGTAAGGAGACCCACCCAACTTACCAGATGCCTTCCAGTTGTTTCCCTGTGGAGAGAAGAAGAGATTTAGCCACTTGGGACTAGACTAAGTGGCCCCTCAGCCTCGGTAAATTCACTGTGTCACTCAAACCCAGGGTAACCTGTCATAAACCTCTTGAAGGACTTTCTAGGAATGCAACTCCCCTCCAGTAAGGTCTTTAGGTTGTGACAGAGTATGCTCTGTTAAGTAAGCTGAAAAGTACGAGAGTCTTTTATCAGAATGCAAGATTAAAAACACTGGTATAAAGGTACCCCAGTTTTATGTCTGCTATTCTTTCCTCTTTGGGGTCAATTCAGCTATGCCTTTTTAACTTCTCTGTCTCACGTACAGTAAGACTATATTAATACAATGAATGTTATTACTCATTTCTTCATTGACGCGAAATCCTTCAGAAACTGATAGGACAAAACTTTGCAAATGCTATCCATTTAAATAGTTAAGGCACTGTTATTTACCTCTATGTGCCAGAAACAATGTTAGGTGTGGAAATGCAAATAGGAACATATCACTTTCCTGCCTTTGAGAAGCTCAAAGTCAAATGGACTGAGATACACAATTAACTAAAACACAATGTTAATATGCTGTATCATAGTGGTAAAAATAAGGTGCTAAATATAATAAACTACTTTTGTGAGCTTCCATTACCAATGACAACTAAGGGCAGGGATGGACATTTCTGTGGGAGAGAACAAGACGTGAACATGCATGGCTGTGAAGTCTAAAGCCTTCAGGGCAGAGTGAAGAAAGGGTGCAGTGATGGTGCTAGCGGGAGGAGCGGCCAACAGGATGGCCAGCAAAGTGGGCGGGCCTGGACTCAAAGAGGCTGTGAGGCTGGAGAGTGCCTTGATCAGATCCATGTTCAGAAAAGATAACTGTAGTTGTGGGATAGCAGATGAATTGGAGGGAAGAGAGCAGAGTAAGCAAACCAGGGTAAGGAGGTCATCGCAAGAGTCCATGGGAGATACTCTACAGCAGTGCTCAGGATGCAGAGGAAGGGCAGTGAAAGATGCGGAGCGCCAGCAAACATGACTCACTCACCCCTGCTTATCACTTCACGTGGCGACATGGCGGATTACTGATTGCTAACTGCTACCTTCACTGTTTGCCCTGTGACTTTCTTTTTTTTAGAGACAGAGTCTCTCTGTCGCTCAGGCTGGAGTAAAGTGACGTGATCTCGGCTCACTGCAACCTCTGCCTCCCGGATTCAAGTGATTCTCATGCCTCAGCCTCCCAAGTAGCTGGGATTACAGGCATGAACCACTAAGCCCAGCTAATTTTTGTATTTTTAGTAGAGACAGGATTTTGCCATGTTGGCCAGGCTGGTCTCGAACTCCTCGCCTCAAGTGACCCACCTGCCTCGGCCTCCCAAAGTGCTAGGATTACAGGCGTGAGCCACCACATGCTTGGCATACCATCCTCAGAGATAGTTAAGGGGACCATATGGATTCAGATCCTGGGTTTTCCACTTCCTAGTGGTGGATCTTGGGCAAGTTTACCTAGCCTGTTTAAGTCTGTTTCTCTGATTCGGAGTTGCTGTGACTGGTAATAATAATGCATAGAAAGCTTCACAGTATATGATATACAGATGTTTGATAAATGGAGGTTCTTATTAGGTACGATGACCTCCTTGGGGAAAAGGGTAAAGACTTCCACAAGATAAAAGTAAGTTCTACTTCATACATGGCACGGTGGCCCACCCCTGTAATCCCAGCACTTTGGGAGGCCAAGGCAGGCGGATCACTTGAAGCCAGGACTTTGAGACCAGCCTGGCCAAAAGAGAAACCCTGTCTTTACCAAAAAAAAAAAAAACAAACTCACTGGGTGTGGTGGCATGAACCTGTAGTCCCAGATACTCAGGAGGCTGAGGCACGAGAATCGCTTGAACTTGGGAGGCAGAGGTTGCAGTGAACTGAGATTGCGCCACTGTACTCCAGCCTGGGCAACAGAGTGAGACCCTGTCTCACATAAAATAAAAAATAGGCCCGGTGTGGTGGCTCACGCCTGTAATCCCAGTACTTTGGGAGGCCGAGGAGGGCGGATCACCTGAGGTCATGAGTTTGAGACCAGCATGGTCAACAACCCCGTTTCTATGAAAAATACAAAATTAGCCGGGCATGGTAGTGCATGCCTGTAGTCCCAGCTACTCAGGAAGCTGAGGCAGGAGAATCGCCTAAACCGAGAGGGCAGAGGTTGCAGTGAGCCGAGATTGCGCCACTGCACTCCAGCCTGGGCTACAAGAGCGAAACTCTGTCTCAAAAAAAAAAAAAAAGAGTAGGTTAAGGGAGTTTCAGGGATGGTCAGGGTGGGCCTCTTTGAGAACGCGACATTTGAGTGAAGTTTTTTTTTTTTTTTGGAGACAGGGTCTTGCTGTGTTACTCAGGCTGGAGTACAGTAGCGTGATCAGAGCTCACTGCAGCCTTGACCTCCCAGGCTCAAGTGATCCTCCCACTTTAGCTTCTCAGTTGCTGAGACTGTATGTGTACCACCCAGGCCTAGCTAATTTTTTTTTTTTTTTTGAGACGGGGTCTCCCTACATTGTCAAGCCTGGACTTGAACTCCTTGGCTCAAGAGATCCTCCCACTTCCAGGTGTGAGCCACCACGCCCAGCTTTGAGCCAAGATTTAAAAGAGACAAGAGAAAGAGGGATGCAGGGGCAACGACATGCCAGGTTTATCTGAAGGCCTGTAAGGATGCCAGTGAAGCTAGAATGGGTGAGGAGGGGAAGTAGAAGATGACCAGAGGTAATGGAGGACCAGATCACAGAGAACACTGCAGAGGCTGAGAACACTAAGCCTGAGTTGTCCAATATGGTAGCCATTGACCACATGTGGCTATTTAAATTAAATAAATGCACAAATTCAGTCCCTCGGTTCCACTAACCACATTTTACGTATTCAATAGCCACATGTGACTAGTGGTTACTTATTGGACAGTACAGATCTAGAACATTGCCATCACTGCAGAAAGTTCTATCGGATGCACTGTTTAAACTATAGTTTCCTATTCTGTAAAAAAAGCATAACAACAGTGCCTGCCTCATAACATTTCCAGGATTAAAAGAGACGATACATGACACATGCCTAGCACAGGGTCTGGGACATAATACATGCCCAATAAAGGCCAACTCATTTCTTCTAGGGTTTGTAACTTGAAAAGTTTATAGCTGTTCTCATAGTACCTTGGTATTGAAACTATTCATGTGTCCTTCTCCCCAGTTAGACCACAGTTGCCTCAATAACCAGGACAGTTTTCTTATGCATCTTTGTAACTCCAGCACCTAGCAAAGGACCTGGACCTGAGATGAGACATGAACATCTGTTGAGATGAGCTGTTCTGTTTAGTTAGCTTTGTTGGTTGACACACAGTGCTATTGAGGACAAAGTTCCTAACCCCAATCTGGGCTGCCTGGCTTGTTATTGAAATGACTCAGCCACCCTGGCACACTGCACTCCCAGTCTACTGCTGTCCTCTCAGATGCACATGCTCACTGACCCAGGAGTACAGCTGGCAGGTAGGGATGCATCATCAGCTCAAACCCATTCCTGCTCAACAGAGTTTTGGAGAGGAGCCTCAGTTATTTCACACCTGAAAAACAACTCAAAAGTTGCATGATACAAACCCTACTTTATTCCCCTTTATATCCTTTGTATCATCACTAAATTTGCCTGTAAGCTACACACCACACTTCCTATTCAACTGCATCAAGGTACACTTAGGATCTCATCCATTCAGAGAGTGGAGATAGGGATTATAGAAAAAAGATTTCCTTATTTATTCATTCATTCATTCTTTTTTTTTTTTTTTCTGAGACGGAGTCTCGCTCTGTTGCCCAGGCTGGGGTGCTGCAGTGCAACCATGGCTCACTACAACTCCTGCCTCCAGGGTTCAAGCAATTCTCCTGCCTCAGCCTCCTGAGTAGCTGGGATTACAGGAACGCACCACCATGCCTGGATAATTTTTTGTATTCTTAGTAGAGACGGGGTTTCTCCATGCTGGCCAAACTGGTCTCAAACTCCCAACCTTGTGATCCACCCGCCTCGGCCTTCCAAAGTGCAGGGATTACAGGTGTGAACCACTGCACCCAACCTATTCATTCTTTCACTTATTCATCTACCAAACACTTGGTGCCAACAATAACATTAAAAATGAATTGAGTGAATTTATATCCTTTCTTTTTTTCTTTTGAGACAGAGTCTCGCTCTGTTTCCCAGGCTGGAGTGCAATGGTGCCATTTTGGCTCACTGCAACCTCCACCTCCCAGTTCAAGCAATTCTCCTGCCTCAGCCTCCCAAGTAGCTGGGATTACAGGTGTGCACCACCATGCCTGGCTAATTTTTGTATTTTTAGTATAGACAGGGTTTCACTATGTTGGCTAGGCTGATCTCGAACTCCTGACCTCAAGTAATTTGCCCGCCTCGGCCTCTGGCCCAAAGTGCTGGGATTACAGGCGTGAGCTACTGCTGCACCCGGTCTACATCCTTTTTTTTTTTTTTTCCTTTTGAGACGGAGTCTCACTCTGTCACCCAAGCTGAAGTGCAGTGGCGTGGTCTTGGGTCACTGCAACCTCCAACCTCTGAGTTCAAGTGATTCTCCTGCCTCAGCCTCCCAAGTAGCTGGAATTACAGGCACCTGTCACCACGCCCAGTTAATTTTTGTATTTTTAGTAGAGATGGGGTTTCACCATGTTGGCCAGGCTGGTCTTGAACTCCTGACCTCATGATCCACCTGCGTCGGGCTCCCAAAGTGTTGGGATTACAGGTGTGAGCCACTGTGACCAGCTACATCCTTTCTTAAAGTATTTCATAGTTATACTTGTTTTCTCTCTCTCTCTCTTTATTTTTTATTTTTTTCTTTTGAGATGGAGTTTCCCTCCGTCACCCAGGCTGGAGTGCAGTGGCCAGATCTCAGCTCACTGCAAG